GGGGGGAGGGGAGGGGCGGGGGAAGAGGGAGAGAGAGAAGATCTTAAGCAGGCTCCACACCCAGTGCTGAACACAATGTGGGACTCGATCTCACGACCCTGAGATCACAGCCTAAGCTGAAATCAAGAGTCGGGCGCTTAACTGACTGAGCCACCCAGGCACCCCGCTTGTGCTCTGTTTTAAATATGACTCTGTCTAAGGAGATATATGAGTAGTGCCGAAAGTTTTATTTAACTTATGGATTCAGGGCATGTTAGTTCAAGCTATATTATGAAAGCAATAGAAAATATTTTTAATATCAATGGAAGACAACAAACCTTTACAAATTGTGAAACAGCCTGAGGAGATAATGCAGAATTTGAAACATTTTCTCTGTGGATCACAGATCTATAGCTCCATTGTTTCCACAAATAATTTTTAATACAATGTAGTCATGAGATGTTTTATATATAAAGTTTACTAAATAACAGGCACACTAGTAAGCATATAATGTATGTTATTTTCCTTTCTCTTCTGGAAAGAAGTCATTACTGCTATTCTGTGATCTCAACTGAGTGACTACCCAAGAAGTTCAGGGAGTTCTAAGGCATATATTGAAACCCTATATGTTTTATGAACGTGAAACAACAGTACTTTTGACTTCTACGATAACTTAGCTCTCAGATCATTAAAGTCACTGTAATTAGAAAATGTCAATTTGCTTAGTACCAGCACTTTCTAAGTCTACCAGTAGTTTCATGCATCTTTTTATTTTTATTTTTTATTTTTGTCATTAGAAACAACCCAGAACATTGTTTCTGCCATCAGGTTCCCAATTCTTATTGTCGTTTTTTCTTAATGATAGGAATTTGTGTATGATGATTCATACTTACCTTTTCTGTTCTGATGATAGAAGATCTCTGGTTAGCCTGGTTCATGATATTTGGTTCTTGGATTGGGATTCTTCAGTATTCTAAATGTTGTTTGTTATGCCCTGCTCTTGCTGTCATCAGGGTACCAAGGCAATGGAAGAGTGTGCACACTCATTGACATCTGCTCAGTCAGCAATGGAGGCTGCCACCCAGATGCATCATGCTCCTCAGTTCTAGGTGATGACTCTCCCTCTGGTTTGCGGTATTTGAATATGACCCTCTAAAACAAATCAACATCTTAAAAACAAAATCCCCTATCCTCAAAATTCTTATTTTGATCTTCAAACCAAAAAGTAATCCTTGTTTTAAAATTATACATTTGGATTTTTTAATGTAATAGACTATGCTCTTCTCTGGTCTGGCCTAATTTAGCAATTATTTCCCAAGATAATCAAGCCAGCAAAGTAATTTATGACTGTATTCGAGAAAACAGCAAGGAGAAAAGGAGGAAGGACCATTGTCAACTCTCTTTTCTATGTCATTGGCCAGGACTGAGCCCTGTTGCCTAACCTTGGCTGCAAGGGAGGCTGGGAAATGTAGTTTATTTCAGGTGCTTATGCCCCCAGTTAAAATAAAGAATTCACTACTAAAAAATGGAAAAGTGGATCTAGGGCAGTAACCAACAATGTCTGCAATGCTGTGTAAGAGGAATTTCACGTCCTATAATTTAAAAAATATATATTGCTAAATTTTCTCCCAGAAGTGTATCAATTTATACTTACCAACAGTGCATGAAAGTATACATGTATCCCACCCTTGACAATAATGGATACTATTGTTATTTCTCATTTTGGTCAATTTTATAGGCAAAAATTGCCTTCCCATTATTTTAATTTTGATCATATCAAAATTCATTTTTGATCATGAATAATTAATGCTTTATTTTGTTTTTAAAGATTTTATTTATTTGACACAGAGAGAGAGAGAGAGCACAAGCAGAGGGAGAGAGGCAGAAGGAGAGGGAAAAGCAGACTCCAGGCTGAGCAGGGAGCCCGGTGTGGGGCTCGATCCCACGACCCTGGGATCATGCCCTGAGCTGAAGGCAGACGCTTAACCACCTGAGCCATCTAGGCGCCCCAATAATTAATACTTTCTACATATTTACTGGCTTTATTATTTTTTTTCTATTTGTTCATGTCCTTTGTTCATCTGCTTTCTCACTGATTTGTAAATTTTCATTATGGACTAAGGATATTATCTCATTATCTGTCTTATGTTTTACATGTATTTTCCCTGGCACATTATTTTTATTTTAATTTTGTGGTGGTATTTTCTACTTAGAAGTTTAAAATTTCTATGCTATGAAAAAGATAAATCTCTTTTTATAGAATTTTCTCCTTTTGGAATTAGGCCTTTCCTACAGAACTCTAAAAATAGTCAAGTGCTTGCTCTTTTGTACTTTCATTTATTTTTAACATTAAGATCTTGATCTTCTGGGGATTTATTTTTATCTATAGTATCAAATAGACATTTAGCTTGATATTTTTGTTCAAATGTGTGGCTCCAACTTCATTTATCGAATAACATATCATAACTCTTGCTATTTCCAAATACCACTTTTATTTTTACTGACATAACATATCTATTCACATATGTAAAAAAATACATATGTGTATATATGTATGTGTATAATATATACATAGAACTTATATATATGTATATACTGTGACTATTAAATGTTTATTAAATAATTAACAGCATACTGAAGTAGTTAGGAACATGGATTCTAGAAAAATACTGCTTAGATTTTGATTTTCTCCGTGGTTCCATCATATTCTAGCTGTGTGTCCTTTGTCAAGGCGCTTAATCTTTCTGTGTTTTGTCCTCATTTGTAAATGGGGATTAAAACAGTATACCTATTTATAGTCAATATGGGTACAGTGCTTGCAACAGATACCATCTGCATGAGAATACCCTTTTCAGCTGTCAACCCCTCCATGAGAAATTCCCCTTTCCCTTGGTGTACCTCACACTTGTCCACAACTCAGGACCATGACATATGGACTGACAGGTCCCGTGCCAATTTGTATATAAAGTATTGGAAATGCGTAATGCCTTTCTTATTTTTAAGATAAAAATAGAAAAAGATTCTATTATTTTCTATTTATGCCTGGTGTTTCTGCTCTGAGAGATATGCAGACTTGACTTTGGCAATTTCTTATCTAGACAACAGGGCCTAAGTTCTGTTACTGGGTCTGAATCGAGGAGATCTGTATTTATACTTCCATTTTGATTTCTAAACAGGTTCCTTACCTCTCTGCACTTGTCTCCCGGGGTATACTGGAAATGGTTATGGGCCAAATGGATGTGTGCAACTCAGTAATATTTGCCAGAGCCGCCCCTGTTTAAATGGACAGTGCATTGTGAGTCCTTTATTCTTCTTTACTTAGCAATTACCATTTCAACGAATTATTACAAGTTAGGCTACCAGAAGATGTTTGTGGCTCAACACCTGCTACATACATCATGTAACACTAATATTCCTTGTTATTTGAGTTGATTCACGTTTATCATTATGGCGTTATGTTTTTCTTTCCTTAGGAAACAGTCTCTGGTTATCTTTGTAAGTGTGAATCAGGTTGGGCTGGCATCAACTGTACAGAAAATATAAATGAGTGTCTGAGCAACCCCTGCTTGAATGGGGGAACTTGTGTGGATGGCATTAATGCTTTCAGTTGTGAATGTACTCGTTTCTGGACTGGACTCCTCTGTCAGATTCCCCAGCAAGGTACGCTCAGCATTTCTTCTCTCACAGATGCTCACAGCATGGAAGGATCATCCCTTAATGAGTCCTGCCGTGGATTCTTCTTTCTTGTCTAGTGGCTCAAACGCTTACAACTAAGCCTTCCCTTGCAGCTGTAGTCTAGAATTTACAAGGTAAATATTTATCTCAGCTTAAGCCAAAAGAACCTTCCTTCAAAGGAAGAATTAAGTTAGTATTTGCCATTTTTATTATGTCTGTTCTGAAAATAAAATTTGCTAAGGTAGTGTAGTTCTCTAGGGAGAGTTTTCTATACAGCAGCTGTTTCATTTCCCTATAATATTACACTAAATCATGTCAGTCTCCTGCTCTACAACACACAGTCACTCCCCATTGCCCACCTGTTAAATAAAAATTGGGACTGTTTTTCAATTATTCCCTTTAACTTGGCCTTACCATATCCAATTAAACTTATTTTTCACTAGTTCCCTAATAATACTCCCTTTCCAAGCCAGACGTCTTTTCTTATCACCTGACCCCATGTCCCACCATGCTGTGTTCCTTTATCTGGGATATTTTTCTCCCCAGATATCTCCAAATTCTTCCTTTGCTTTGCATCTGAATGTATCTGTCCCTCAGGAGTACTTCACCTTCAAGCCTCAATCTCCTTCATCAAGCTTCTTCTGACTACTCCAGCCCTCTTTATAACTCTTGATTTGGAATCAGCACATTTATTGAGACTTTACTATGTGTTTAGGACTCTGGTAGATGCTGTGGAGAAATAAGCATAAAATACTATCTCCTCATATTATCTGTTTATCTTCTGGTTGAGGAGATGAGTCTAATACAAAATGGCGGAGAGGAGACAAGAGCTAAAGATTAGAACTAAGTTGTGTGGGTTCAAGTCAAGTATCACAGAGGCAGAGAGAATGGGAGCCAGGGAAAACAAAAAGAGGCAGGGAGGTACACGGTGGTGACAAGGAGATGCCAAGTGGACTTTGAACAACAGGTGGGACTTAGGTGGGTGTCCGAGGAAAAAGAGGACAGGGAGAAGAAAGAGTGGCAGGGCATTTGTCTCCAGTGTTAATTACTCAGATTTCTCTCATATTTCAGCAGCAGGGTTAGAGCTGCCAAGCCTCTTCCTTTTCAGAGTCTCTGTAAAGCAGAATTCATCTTCTTTCCCTTTGCAGTGTGTGGAGGGTCCCTCTCAGGGATGAGTGGAAGTTTCAGCTACATGAGCCCTGATGTTGGTTATGTACATGATGTCAACTGCTTCTGGGTTATCCGAACTGAAGAGGGAAAGGTAAATGTAGTATCTCCTGCCCAATGTGCATTTCATTTGTATACATGAATATGCAATATGTGTATATATTACATAAAATATATATAGTGGTAATCCAACCATTATATTGAGGACCTGCTAGGTGTCAGGCTCTGGGCTAGATAGTTTATGCACCTTTCTCAAGACTTACACTAACTCTTTGAAATAGGTGATTGTATCCTCATTTTATAAATGAGATAATGGAAACTAAGAGTAGCTACGATATTTTTTAAAAACACTTTTTAGCTGGTAATTAGATGAGTTGGATTTCAAAGTCAGGTTTGTCTGATTCCAAAGTCCATGCTTTGTCCAGTAGAGATGATTCTCCGAAGGGAGTGGCCAACTGCAAGCTGGGAATTTGTAGTCCTATCGTTTCTGAGACAGTCTTGTTTGAAGATGACCACTCAGTGTTCTGTTGATTATTACGCAAAATGGGGACAACTATGAAAATGGTTTTCTTATTGGAGCCTTCTCTGTGCTACTGTGCTGTGTTAATTGCTTTATATACATTGTGTCATTGTATTTTAACTCTTGTAACCCTACCCTGAAAGATAAGAATTGTTATTCTCATTTTATGTCTGTGGAAAGGGAGCCTGGAGCAGCTGAGGAATTTGTTCAAGGTCAAATGGTTTGTAAGCGGCAAGCCGTGACCCAAGCCCAGGCCGTTCGACTCCAGTGACTCTGAACCCTGCATGAACACTCTTCAAATTAAGATCTGACCCTGAGGTCTTTAGTGCTTTTATCCCCGGCATTCATTACTCAGACTTTTCCAAATACTTATTTCTCAACCAACTCCTAGACTCATTAAAATGAAGTTTGTATGTCTGAATAGATAAGGTTTTCCCTTGAAACTCTGTGAACTTTTTCCAGCAAACTAACGTTACAGAGGTCATTGTACAATGGTCACAACATATTTTTCCCTTGAGATGGGAGGATTCTTTGGGGCCTGGTGACCCCACAATAGCATCAACTCCAAAATCGATTTCCCAGTGGTTATGTTATGTGAATTTCCTTCCTCCCATTTAGTGTTCATGAATTCTATTTCCTGACATTGAAAACATTTTTCTTTCAAGAAAAGTCATTTTGTGAAAAAATTTTAATACTTTTATTATCCATTTGTAAAAAAAAAAATCATGCTGTTTTTCTTGATTATTGTGATTTCATATCTTCTTATCTCCACAATTTACATAATATAGTAGAAATTTTATAGAAATCAGGATAGTTCAATTCATGAACATTTATTTGAGTTTTATTGAAATTGCTTCAAGGACAAAAATGATGCAATGTTGGGGAACAGATCTTAAAAATACCCTAGCATAGAATTTCAAAAATATCCTGATATCCTTTCTCATTAGCTAAATGCTGTTGTGGTTTTAGATCATAATGGAAATCAAATTTACAGCCTCCTTTCAGTAGTTTGGCTCTTTTAAGTGATGTTATCCGTACAAAATCTTTTCTATTTTATTAATTACAATATTATATTTAAGTTTGTACATTCTAACATTTTAACTTGGAAATGTATTTTTGTGTTTATTCTCTTCTACTTGTATGCCCAGAACACTTCAGATTACTTTTTCCCTATTCCCCACTCTTGGTATTACTCATCTCTTAATGATATCCAACCACTGAGGACTTGCCGACCCTACACACGTGTACACCATGCCTACTCAGTCTATACCTGAGGTTGTCAATCTGTTAGTATCTTGTTGAGAGGTTCAGAGAACCCTCAGGAATCAGCATCTCTGGGGGTCGGTGAACATTTGTGGGTATGCTACACACTGCAGGTTATTCAGGTGACCAGGGTATAAATTCTTGTGAATGGTATTATTTGTCAGTTGCATTTAATTCAGGGTAGATTTCTCAAATGTCCAATGTATTTTACTGATGTGGAAGCATTGTCAACTATACATTTGAAGGACCTTTATTTAAGGGACTTGACAGTTTAATGAAATCTAGTTAAATATATTTCATTAACCCATTCAGTAACAACTCAATGGGTATGAAGTTTCAGTTATGCAAGATGTGTAAGTTCTAGAGATCTGATGTACAACATTGTGCCCCTAATAGTATGGTATGGTGCACTTCAATGTTTGTTAAGACAGTGGATCGCATGTTGTATTCTTACCACTAAAAGAAGAAAAGAGAGACACAAGGAAGCTCTGGGAGCTGTTGGATATGCCTATTATATTGATGGTGATGATGGCATCAGAGGTGTTAGCATACGTCCAAAAACTCATCAAATCATACACAGTTAATATGTGCAGTTCTTTGTATGCCA